GTTGGGTCAGCCCAGGAGACTGGAAGCCCAGATGAGTAGGGTCCCTCCTGGGTGCCCCAGGGTGGGACATGGTGGGTGGCGCCGTGCCTAGTGCCAGGTCCCCTGGAACACAGAGGCAGCCTGCTGATGACCTGGCCTCTGCCAGCCAAGGCTTCAGGCAGCCAACGCACTGTCCACATTGCACCGGTGACACACTGGTCTCCACACCAGCAGACTGCACACCTTTCTGGTTGAAGCTACCTGGTCAGAGTCTATTCTAGAAAGAGGCAGTGATATGGGGACCCCTGTCCTTTCAGCGATGAACAAAGAGGGCTGCCCCCACCTTCGTCCCCATCACCATCCTCTGACCTGGGCAGACCTGGGGTTAAAAGAGAGCCGTGGTAGGGGGGAGGGATAGCATTAGGAGATATACCTAATGTAAATGACGAGTTAATGGGTGCAGCACACCCACATGGCACATGTATACATATGTAACAAACCTGCACGTTGTGCACATGTACCCTAGAACTTAAAGTATAATAAAAAAAAAAAAAAGAGAGAGAGAGAGAGAGCCGTGTGGCCTGGGGAAGCTGCTTCGTCTTGCCCTGCCTCAGTTTCCCCAGGGTGGGTTAAATAGTGGCCCCCAAAAGATGTGCCTGCTTGCACCCTCAGAATGGGACCTCATTTGGAAACTGAGCCTTTGCAGATATGGTTAAAGTAAGGATCTCACGATGAGGTCATCCTGGGTCAGAGTCAGGGTGGGCCCTAAATCCAACGCAAGTGACCTTATAAGAGACAGAAAGAGGTTTCTCATTGGAGGAAGAAGACAATGTGAAAAATAATGACTTTTTTTTTTTTTTTGAGATGGAGTATCACTCTGTCACCCAGGCTGGAGTGCAATGGCATGATCTTGGCTCACTGCAACCTCTGCCTGCCTCAGTGCTTCTCCTGCCTCAGCCTCCTGAGTAGCTGGGATTACAGGAGCACGCCACCAAGCCCAGCTAACTTTTGTATTTTCAGTAGAGATGGAGTTTCACTGTGTTGGTCAGGCTGATCTTAAACTCCTGACCTCAAGTGATCCACCTGCCTCGGCCTCCCAAAGTGCTGGGATTACAAGAACGAGCCACCACACCCAGCCAACAATGTTTTTAAGAGAGAGAGAAAGAGGCTGGGCGAGGTGGCTCACACCTGTAATCTCCAACACTTTGGAAGGCCGAGGCAGGAGGATCACTTGGGCCCAGGAGTTAGAGACCAACCTGGGCAGCATCTCTATAAAAAATTGTAAAAAACAGACAGAAAGTAGAAGACACAGAGACACAGAGGAGAAGGCGGAGATGGGAGTGGTGCAGCCACAAGCCAAGGACACCTGGAGCCCCCAGAAGCGGGAATAGGCAGGAAGGACCTTCCCCTGGAGCCCTGTGCAGAAGTTCGGCCCTGCCCCAACCTTGACTTCAGATCTCTGCCCTCCAGAATTGACAGTCAATGTGGGCTGTTTGAAGCCACACAGCTGTGGTCATTTGTCACAGCAGCCACAGGAAACTCATCCACATTGGAAAACAGGAAAATGCTTCGCACAGGTTTTATAAGGATGAGGAAAACTCTCCCAGGGGCCTTGGCACACGAAGTCCTAGGAAGCAGCAGCTGCTCACTTAGCAAACTCCAGCCCCTGCATGTGCTGGGCGCGGGGCCGCGGGACAGGGGCTTGGCCTCTCTGCAGCTCAGCCCTGCTCCAAGGCCAGCAGGCAAGGGTGCAGGCAGACAGTGCTGTGGGGACAGAGGAGGACGGCGCTGAGGCTGACTTCACCACACAGCAAGATGAGCTGGGGCCGAGGGCAGAGATGGGGGCGTGCCAGGTGGAAGGAACCGTGCGAGCAGAGGCCTGCCTGTCAGAATATGTGCAGAGCTCTGGGCAAAGACAGGTACAGGAAGTGGGGCAGAGCCAGGGGAGCAGGAGAAGAGATGAGGCTGCATCCAGGAAGGGGGGTTGCTGAGGGCCAGGGGCTGGGGGGTGAAGGGGCTCGGAACACAAGCAGGGGAGCCGTGCATGGCTCAAGCAGGGGTTTCCATGGCCTGACACTGAGGTCTCCTGGGTGCAGCAGGTGACGTCCAGGTAGGAGGCAAAGGGGTCTGAATCCCAGCCCAGGCAGGATGCACGGGGCCAGACCCCAGCACTGCCTGTGGCACTTGGGGTGCCCCAGCACAGAGTATAGTCAAGCCCTCCTCCCTGCCATGGGCTCCCTGCCCATGCCTCAGTTTCCCCAGGCCTCCCTGGAGCTGTTGCTGTAGCACTGTAGGAACGCAAAGCAAAGCTAAGGACCCTCCTATCGGCCTGAGGCCTCCTGGGCAGCCATTCTCAAGAGACGATATGCTAGGGGCCCACCTGGTGTCACCTCATGCTGGACACAAGACCCTGACCCCTGAAACTGCAGTATCCACCCCCCCACCCTGTCCTGGGGTAGCTGGGGACCCTCTCAGGCCTGAGGGGAGGACAGGAGCTCCCCAGCACGAGGAGCACGCCACTGCAGGGTTGGGGCCAAGCAGGGCGAGCTCCCAGACAGGCTCAGCTGGCCCTGGCCCTGGCCCAGCCTCCCCGTGCCCAGCCTGTGAGGCCGCCCTTTGAGCTTCTGGATTAGTATTCACGCCAGGTCCCCAGCTCTGAAAGCCCTTGTTCCCTCCAGAGAGCAGCCAGGGCGGCTGGGGCTGGGGGGATGCTCAGTGCAAAGTGACAGCCCCAGCCATACACTGGGGCCCTTAGCCCGCTCCCCCAGGACCCCTCCTCCACTGTTGGGGCTGTCCATGGGCTCAGCCAAGGCTGGGGGACTGGGAGGGAGGCCCGTCTGTCCATCTCTCTGTCTGTCTCTCTCTCTCTGAGTTTGCGTCTCTGTCTGTCTCTGTCTCTTGGGGTTCTTGGTCTCTCTCTGTCACCAACTCCCTCCTCCCTCCATCCCCGTCTCCTATCCTCTCGTGCTGCTTGCAGTCAGGGGCCGGGAGTAACTCCACATGTAGTTTCTCCAACAAGAAAAGACACACGGGCCAGGCACATGGCAGCGAATCTCCCGTGACATCTCCCTGCACCACCCGTCCCTGTCGGGGTCTGTCTTGACTCTGAACTGCCTGCAGACCTCCCCACAGCCCCCACAGTTGGACCCCAACAACAAGAATAACAAAGGCTTGGCTGGGAGCAGTGGCTCACACCTGTAATCCCAGCACTTTGAGGCCGAGGCGGGCAGATCTCTTGGGCCCAAGAGTTTGAGAGCAGCCTGGACAACATAGCAAGACCTACCCGCATCTCTACAAAAAATTTTAAAAAATTAGCCGGGCGTGGTGGCATGCACTTGGGAGGCTGAGGTGGGAGGATCACCTGAGGCCGGGGAGGTCAAGACTGCTGTGAGCTGTGATTGCACCACTGCACTCCAGCCTGGGCAAGGGTGAGACCCCATCTCAAAAAATAATAATAATAAATAACAAAAGCTATTTGATGGTGCCCATGGCCAGGCGCACGCTGATCAGGCCAGCTTGGGGTTTCTGGGCCTGAGTGGCACCGAGCTCAACCGTGTCCCCGCTCCAGCCCTGTGTCCTCAACTCTGAAACGTGGTTCTAAGATGGATGGGATTTGCCACGAGGGAGCATCCATGGGCAGGGATGCAAACAGTTGGTACACAGGGTCCTGGAAGGTTTCTGACCTGGAGGCCGCCCTGCCCGGCACCTGTGGGTCACACCGCTTTGGCGGATGCAGGGATCCTGAAGGCCTGGTGTCTGGTGATTTGGCCGGGCGCCCACCCAAGGCCACACCACGGACCATAGAAACCCCCTCGGAGTCCTCAGACGTGCCTGGCCCCTGGCTTGGCCAGCAAGGTCACCAGGGAGGCCCAGCATCCCTCGGGGTCCCGCCCTGGGAAGGAGCCTCCAGTGAGTGCGTGGGCTGCGCTGGGTCAGTCCATGAGGCGCATGAGGGGCCCCAGCTCTGCAGCCAGAACCTACGGCCGAACCCACGGCCGAACCCACGGCCCAGCGGCTTCGTCCAAGTGGCCAGAGCTGGCCTGAAGCAGCCGAGACCCTCCTGAGCCATCACCTCTGCCTCCCACACACCCAGAGCTGGGGTCGGGGGTGAAAATGAGGAGGGAGCCCCTGCTCCTTGGGCGTCTCCAGCAACCCCAGCCGCACAGGGGATCTCGGGTATCGAGGAACAGCCGGCGTGCCCAGGACACGCCCGGCTCCCTCTTGAGGCTTCGCTGCCTGGGGTGGCTGCGGGTCTGGACTCTTGGAGGTGCCTGAAGAAGCCCTGTAGAAGCCGGGGTCTCCACTGCCTGCTGTGGTGCACACCCACCCAGCCTGGCGGGGCTCAGGGAGCCTGTGGGGCCGGAGACCCAGGCAGGTCCCCAGAGAGCCAAGTGCCTATTAATGGAAGCTCTGGAAGCAGCCCCCTGGTGAGACAGCTCTGGGGGTGCCACGAGCACCCAGACCTTCTCAGTGCCTCCCATCCCAGGAAACCATATTATATCCCGGCCCTGCCCTCCTCCTCCAAGTGCCACTGTCACCAAGGAGCATCTAGTAAACCTCCAAAATCTCTCTCAACTGCCCGCCCCACCCAGGCCGGCTACAGACTCCCCGGCCTCCACACACCCCCTTCCAAGCCACTTGCCCCCAACAGGAAGCCTTACAAAGACCATGTCTCACCACTGCCAGCTGTCAGCTGCGTCCCTCGGCTCTGTCTGCCCCAGCCTCACATCCCTAGTTCCTACCTCCGGAGTTCCTCTGCCTACGAGGCCCCCTGCACCCCCAGCTGGGCCTCCTCAAGTCGGATGAAGCCCCAGCCTCCTTCAGGGCCATGGCCCCTCACCACTTCTCCTGGGCTCCAGACTCCATCCTTTCTTCCCTGGCCTCCTGGCCTTTGCCCGGGCTGTGCCCTCCATCTGGAGCAGCGGCCTGGATGCCTTCCACCCCACATTTAGGCTTCAGGCCCCACGGCTGCCTCTTCCCAGAACCCTCCCGGCACGCACTTCGGCGACTCTCACAAGTACCTGTTCAGCATCAGCCTTCGCCCAGGAGTACAGGCTGGGGACGAGGGCAGCGGCCGCCTCTGCCGGTCCTGTCAGCACCTAGTGTGATGTCCAGGCCACCGTGGGTGCTCAACCCGGGCGGCTGTGCTGCCGCAGGTCACAGCACCAATCAGACACCCCCATCCCCACACACACCCTGCACCGGCCCACGCGGCCGTCACACTCGGAGCACACACACTCTGACGCGGCTGCACTGTTGGTACACGCACAGGCGCACACACCCACACGCACAGGCGCACACGTGGGGGCACGCACGCTGGGGTGCCCTGACCTCCCCGCACGCCCTCCTGCAGCCGCCCCGGCCTCTGTCCCCACGCGTGTCACACACGGCCGGGCGTGCTTGCTCACACTGTCCCGCGACGTGGTTCCAGCCGGCGCCCGGAGCTCGATCAGGAGAGCTGCTGTTGGCCGCCTCTCCCTGCCAGCGTTTGCCAAGCGGTTTCCATGACAACACATCTTGGCTCCGACAGGAACCAAGGAGTGTGGGGAAGAGGGTCCCCACGGAGGGGGCGAGGCGAGGCAGGAGGTCTCTGCGTCTTCAGGCTCCCGGCAGGCATGGGGGACTCCACAAGTGCAGACACCCCCCCAACCCCAAGCCAGGCTTGCACCCCGAGAAGGAGGCTCTGGGATGGTCCCTCTGGGCTGCCTGGCACAGGAACTGACTTAGGTCACTCAGTCATTCAATGAACTTTCTGGAAGAGCCACTCTGTGCTCGCAGCTGGGGCTGCGATGCCGCCCAAGACATGGGCTCGCAAGAGGCTCAGAGTCGAATCCTGAGGTTAAACTGACGTCCCCGCCACCCCACTGAAGGCCCCATCTAGCAGGTTGGCCCGTGGCTCCCTAAGCCCCAAGGCCCACCAAGCACCTTCTCAAAGCGGGGCTCCCCTCTGTGGTAGATCAATTACAAACATGACCCCAATGCCCCACTCCTTCCTGAATCACCATGCCCTTTGCCGTGTGACTTTGCCCCAACTCCTATCTAGAGGTGGCGTCTACTTCCCCATCCTTCAATCTGAGCCTGTCTTATGACTTGCTGTGGCCAATAAAAGGTGACAGCAATGACATTCCCAGTTCTGAGCTTAAACCTCCAGGGACATGGGTGCCTCTGCCTGCTCTCTCTGACTCCTGCTATTGCACAAGAACAAGCTGGGCTGCTTTGCAGGAAGGCAAGAGGGCGATGGAGCCTGGGTCACCCTAGCTGAGGCCATCCGGGACTAGCTAGCTCCCAGCTGCCCACAGATGTGTGAGTGAGCCCAGCCAGGACTAGCCAGGCCCAGCAATGAGCAGCAGTGCCGCCTGGTCCTTCTTTAATACTAAGGAAATGTGAAGTCATGTGTTTGGAGCTATTTGTTACTCAGCACTAGCTAACTGATACCCCTCTCTCCAGGGCCCTGAACAGCAGCTGCCCCACCTCAGCACAGGCCAGAGGCTCTAGAAGTTCCCGGGGGTGCTGAGAACCAGGCCATGGGGAGGGCTGGATTCCACTGGCTAACGGTGCCAGAGGGTGCCAGGGGCAGAGCTTGTGGGAGGGGGTTCCCGTGTCAAGTCCATGGCAGGAGTTACTGAAGCAGAAGCATGACTCTCCACTGCCTTTCTTTGCCTTGGTTTTTCCCCCTGTGAAATGGGCCCATCACCCTGTCCTGTCTCCTGGGGCTACCTGGTAAGGTAGTGTGTGTGGCAGCTGGAGGCGGATCAACTATGTGCCAGTGCTGGGCTGCAACCTAGGGATAGAGGCCCATGGCTGCCTCCTAGGGACCCACAACTGAGAAGGTGGCATCACTAAGCTCATCTCACAGACTGGAAACCGTGGGGAGAGGAGGTCGGCTTGCCTGAGGCCCAGGACACACAGAAGCAGGTGGGCGTGGCCACAACCCCCAGCTGGGTCTGAGCTGGTCGTTATCTTCATGTTTTTCTCCCTGTGGTCACCTTTTTGGAAATATCGTACTTCCTGAGCTAACTGCACTTACGAGGTAATGATTGGTGCGAGTTTATAGTCTCTCTCTTTTTTTTTTTTTTTTTT